GGACACACTCAGAGCTGACTCACGTTACTCCCACTCGCTCTTATGAAAGTGGGAGCAAACAGAGCTCGCTGGCATCGGCAGCAAGTGGGAGGAGCATGGAGCAACAGCAGCAGCAGCCAGAGAAGGAAAGATGGAGTTTGCAGGGCTTGCCATCAACTTTCCTGGGCATTAGTTTTTGCATTCCCTTCTCTCAGCAGTTCCTCCCACTAGCTCGCATTACCAACTCCTACTGCAGTCCCCATGTTGCCAAAACCCACCAGTTGTTAATGGAGTAGGAGGCAGCAGATGGGGCTCTGCTGGGACTCTCCAAATCTGCTAAAGATTTCTTGAGCAATCCTGTTCATTCCTTAGTTACCCAAGAGCAGATATGATAGTGCTGATCTCTCTCCAGCTCTTCCAGGCAGACAGTCTGTGTGTATCTGTACCATGTTTTCCCTAGCAGGCTATCAACTGCCTTTGGTATCCTTTACACCTTGCTCTTATACAGGCAGTATAATGAACATCACATTCTGCAGAGAGAGTCATTAATCACAAGAAAAGGAGGTCTTGTCAAATGAAGAGAAACAAATTGAGCAATGCCAGGCTCTAGCATCCCTTAACTGAGAGGACTCCTGTGCCAGCCTACATAAATCTACCCTTGGGAACAGAGCTTAGAGAAGACCTGAGCACTGGAAAGGTAGAACCACTGATGAGACCACATCTTGAATACTGTGTTCAGTTATGGGCCCCTCACTACAAGAAGGACATTGAGATGCTGGACCATGTCCAAAGAAGAGCAAAGAAGCTGGTGAAGGGTCTACAGCACACGCCTTATGAGGAACGCCTGAGGGAGCTGGGGTTGTTGAGCCTGGAGAAAAGGAGGCTCAGGTGAGACATTATTGCCCTCTACAAATATCTGAAAGGAGGTTATAGTGAGATGCAGATCAGTCTCTTTTCCCAATTAACAAATGACAGGACAAGAGGAAAGGGCCTCAAGTTGTGCCAGGGGAGGTTTAGATTGTACATTTTAAAAATTTCATCACTGAAATAACTGGGTTATCAAGCATTTGAACGGGCTGCCCAGGGAAGTGGTGGAGTCATCATCTCTGGAGGTATTTAAAAGATGTGTAGATGTGGCGCTTAGGGTCATGGTTTAGTGGTGGACTTGACAGTGTCAGGTTTATGGCTGGACTCCATGATCTTAGAGATCTTTTCCAACCTAAATGATTCTGTGATTGATTCACTGTCACTATTTAGCCTCACTGCCCAAAGGCACAAGCCTACAACATCATGCAGTGATCTCCCAGGTAACTTTAATCTTTTTGACTAATGCCACCTACATCTGAGAAAGGAGGTCAAGTCACCAGAACATTAAGAGTGGGATTCAGCCCATCCAACTCCACAGATATCTGCAGTGTAGATATATACCGATGTCTACATTACCCAGCTAAGTCTTCTTTTCCAATCAAAGGAAGTAAATAATTAAAAGATGCAATTCAGTAGCCTCAAGTAGACATCTAAAATCAGTCTGCTGGGTTACCTCCTAGAGCTGTCTGTTTCTCTCCTCTACACAGTGGAGAATTTGTTGGTTTTGAAGCAATAACCTCTCCTCAAAGAGCACAAATGAGATGTCTGGAGAGGGGAGAGAGCCCTGTCCCAGGTGGGAGTCTGACAGAGGAGACGGAGTATTAAGTGTTCCCACACTGGAAGACATAATTCCAGATCCCAAATTGTTCCAGACCAGCAAAAGTGCAACCTTCACCAAGCCAAAACAGCATAGTAAAGTTTGTCCATAGTACTCTATTTTTTTTTTACAGAAGGGTTAATTTATACTGCATCATTCAAAAAACCCCACTGTTCCTGAAAACCTTCATGCTATAGTATCACTTCAAGCTAAACTTCATGTTTTTCATTCCTTTTCTCCCAGGTCATCTGGAGCTTTCATCCTTAATTTGTAGCTTCTAAGACAAACCAAACACCTGCCTGAGCCTTTCTATATGTGCATTGAAAAGATTCCACCTTTCAGCCATTCTTTTGCAGACACCCAATTCCTACTGATATGTCTCCCGAGGAGATACCTCTTGCTCCTGCAGCTGTTTTCCCAGTCAGGCCCATCTGCTGACCAAAGTCACCCCACAGGTCATCCAGTAGTCCTGTTAATAGTTCATAGGGCGATAGTTCATGGTTTCTCCTTTTCCAAGAGTATTTTCATGTGAATAGAGGTTCAAAGTTCAATGTCTCTTCTTTGTACACTGTGCATTATGACCCTTTGAAATCTCAGTCCATACTGACACAGAGAAATAACAGCAAGAAGATAGCAAAGATATGGATTCAAAGTTATGTTTGCAAGTTTGACACTGGTGAGAGGATGGGGCATGATAGGGTCAAGCTAAAATAAACAGACTATGCAAAGTCAGGTCATTTCAGCAG